GCTCTTGGTGACCAGAGGATACACAGGAAAGGAAACCGCGCAGAGGTGATGGCCACTAGGTGGCGCCAGGCCTCCATCTTCGAAGCAGGAGGAGGTCCAGGGTTTTTTCACCAGATGTGGTCCCGGCCCAGCTGACTCTGGAAAAATCAAGATGCTGCCTGTCACCGTCCAACCTCGCTCAGGGGCAACTTCCTTTAGCTTGGGGCACTCTCTTTCCCCTGAGTGGTTGGGGTCGGGATTCAGGGAGACCGTTTGTGTGAAGCTGGTGGCAGGTTCCTGAGGGGCAAGTGAGGCTTTGAGAGTGTGCCCAGAGAGGAGCAGTGACCTACCCAAGGTCACACAGCCCTTTGGTAACAGAGGCTGGTCCCTCGTGCTTCATCTGTTAGGCCTGTCCTGGTACCTTGGGGCCTTTGTCCTGTGAGCTTGTTGGTTTGTTTTAATAAGCAGCTAATAAACCAGCACTAAGCACTGGTCAGGCACTGGGCTGGCCAGGAGGATGGTCACAGGACCCAGGCGTGCATGGGTGTGCACGGAAGAACACCACCTCTCAGGCACTTACACCCACCTGCGAGGCAGGTGCCGTGATCACTTCTGCTGGACACAAGAGGCGGTTAGAATCTCCGTCTCTGGAATCCTTCCGCTGAGCTGACGTCCCAGCCCTGCCACCTGGTGGCTCACAGTCCATCTTCCTTGAGTCTCAGTTTTTTCACCTGAAAAATGGGACCTAATCTTCTAGGTTGCTGTGAAGTTTAAATAAAGGGCCGGGCACGTAGAGAGTGCTCGATGCACTTGCCTGTGGCTTTGAAGGTCATTACCCAAGGCCTCTGGTGGCCAGGGTTCCAGCCCGGGGAATTGGCTGAATGCTGTGGAGAAGGCGTGTGCCGTGGTCTAGCCTGGCTCCCCGGGAAGCAGATCTCGAGTCGGGGATTCAGCTGTTCATCGGTGGAGCCACCTGGGCGCAGCTCAGGCAGGAGGAACCCAGAGCCGGGGCCATTAAATGGGGTGATTTAGTCAATCTGCTGCTGTGGGCACCTGGAGCGTGGTCCCCTTGGGGGGTCTCTGGGAGACTGTGGGACAGGACCCTCAGAATCACCCCAGCCAAGTGACGAGGGAGCTGGGGCATCTGTCCTCGGGGGTGGGGGGCTCAGGGCTGCAGCTGGGTCTGGGGAGTCCCCAGGTACAGAAGCCCTCGGCAAACAGGGCACGTGGGGTCGGGATGGGGGAGCGCAGAGGAGGAAGGGTGACTGGTAGCCACGGAGAAGAGGGGCCTTTGACGCACCGCAGCAGGATGGGTGGGAGTTCCGCAGGCGGGGGCGGAGGTGGGAGTGGGGAGGATAGCCGCTAAGGACGGGGTGTGGAGGCTCAGGGGGCGTGGGGGAATGTGGGGGGCAGGCGGTGGGCAAGGACAAGAAAAAGAGTCTGGAGCTGAGCCGTGGAGGACTTGGGTGCAGGGCCTGAGCGCGTTCCAGCTGGATTCTGAGAGCAGGTGGGAGGTGGTGCTCTAGGTGACAAGTGATGAGAGCCCTGTGGGACAGTGGGACTGGCCTTAGAGAGAGGCAGAGGGGAGGGTAAAGACCTTTCTGGGGTGGGTTCTGGAGATCTGGGATGGGGAGCGCTTCCTTTCTCCTCTTCCCTGAGCAGAAGCCTCAGGGGTGCGCCATGTGCCTGGATTCCAGCAGGGGGCGCCACCGGCCTCAGGAGCCCACCCGCCTCTTGGCGCTGGAAGAAGAAGGAAGGGGCAGGTAGATGGTTCCGTTCCCGAGTTTGCATCCAGCCCGGCTTGTATCTTTCTGTGCCTTGATTTCCCCACCTGTGACATGTGGTGGTGAAAGTGTCCTTAGCAGTGTGTGTGAGTGTTGTAAGGACGAAACAGGGGAAGGGGCGTAAAGCCCCTGGCACATAGAAGGTGCTTTGCTATTGTTACTGGTGGGCAGGATCTGGAAACAGGGACCACCCACTCAGGCTGAAGCCAGCCGCGTCTCAATGGAGATCACGATGTCTGGTTTCCCCGGGGCCTCGTGGTGGCAGTGGGTGACATTATTTCAATTTCCATAACTGTTGTGTACACGAGTGTCATTGTGCATGGTTGGTGCCCCTGAGGCTTGAAGCTTTTGTGCTGAGAATAGTTTGTCGGTTTCCTTTGGCTTTCAAAAATTAACATTCAGCTTACACGTCAACCATTTACCAATTTACCACTTCTCATGCTCAACAGGCCCCTTGAGCTTTGAGTTCAGGTTAAGCATCTTCTTTTGTGCACAAATGCAGTACAGTTCCACCTACGCCAGGCACCTAGAGGAGTCGGATTCATGGAGACGGAAAACAGAATGGGGGCCGCTGTTGTGGCTGAAGACAGAGGGGGCATGGGTTGTGTGATGGGCATGGAGTTAATTTTGTGAGAGCAGAAGGGTTTTGGAGGTTGGTTACACAACAATGTCTGTGTCCCTAACACAACTGAACAATACCCTTAAAAATGGTTCAGGTGGTAAATTCTATGTTAAGTGTATTTTACCACCACAATACAAATTTTTCTAAAGCTTAGAATTTTCTTTTTCTTTCTCTTTGAATGAGGCTCTGTTGCCCAGTCTGGCCTTGAATTCCCGGGCTCAAGTGAGCCTCGTGTCTTAGCCTCCTGAGCAGCTCGAATTACAGATGCTTGCCACTGTGCTGGGCTAGGAAACAAACAAACAAAAGCAAAACAAAACAAAACAACAAAAAAAACACCCAAACATTTTTTAAATGAATGTGACAACTTTAGGAATGATTTTTTAAATTATTAAGTTTATAAAACTGAATTTTGGTGCCATTTATAATCTTAGCCAATGAAACATGTTTAAAGCCTTTAAATTGCACTTGTACACCTAATATGTTCATTTTCTTTTTAAAAGAAAGCTGCCTTAGGAAAACTTCCTCAGGCATTTGAATCTTTTTTTAGAATTCTAATGACTTCTAAGTATGGCGAGCTTAAGTTCTCAGAACGATTTTCATACCCTTGGCAAATGTCGCGTAGGCTTTTGTAAAGGCCTCTGGTCCCAAGACGGAGTCACCTAGGTCAAACCCTAACAAAATCAAGTCAGGACTGGGGCTGTGGCTCAGTGGCAGAGCGCTTGCCTGGCATGTGTGAGGCACTGGGTTCGATTCTCAGCACCGCATACAAATAAATAAAATAAAGCCCATTGACAACTAAGAAGATGTTTTAAAAAAAATCAAGCCAGGATCCCTCATGGCAGCCACAGGCGTGATCACAGGAAATCTCTGCGTGCCCACCTGTTTACGGGCTGAGCCAGCTCCTGCAGAGACCCCTCAACCACTGACTTTTGTTGCAAAACAGCTCACCTGGCTTTCTCTGTATTTTCAGGAAGCCCCGAGGATACGCCTGTCATCCAACAGACCACGCAGAGCCAGGTGGGGGTCTCCTGCTATCCCAGATTCCTGGTTCTGATTTTCTTCTTAGGTTCACAATTTTGACTTAAAAAAAAACCCCAATTCTGAATCCATCAAGAACTCGTCTCTGTATTTCAAATTAAAACCTGAAGAATGGCCTGTTATTCCCATAGACCATGTTCTTTTAAATAATTACAAATAGCAAAAATTTCAAACCTGTGTTCATTATTTTTTTTAATTAAAAATTTGTTTTAGTTGTAGATGGACACAATACCTTTATTTGATCTGCTTCTTTTTATGTGCTGAGGATTGAACCCAGGGCTTCACATGGGCTCGGCAAGTGCCCTACCCCTGAGCCACAGCCCAGCCCTTATTTTTCAATGTTATTTTTTTGTGATGCTGGGGATTGATCCCAGAGCCTTGTGTGTGCTCGGCAAGGGCTCTACCTGACCCACACCCCCAGCCCTGCGTTCATTATTTCTTAACACAAATGTGTAACTGCGATGTGTGGATTCTCCTAAAACACGCGGATCTGCCAAGCAACGATGTCACTCCAAGTACATTTTGGGGTTGCCTTTTAAACCACTTTTGAGGTCCCCATGTCTTGGCCAGGATCTTGATGGGACTTGAGCCCTATTTTTAGTTACTGAAGCCGGATTTCTTGTAATCTGCAAAGGGGGTGGTTACACAGCCCAGGTGCCCTGAGTTCACCCTGCGAATTCCCCATTTCTCAGTGAAGGTTTAGGGTGACGAGATGCTCTCCCAAGTGGCTTTACCTCGTCTGTGGATTCAACAGACGGATTCCCTGCTTGATTCTATTCTGAATTCTGTTCAAAGATTTCCTATCTGTTGGGGGCCACCTGCTTGTAGGAGCTTAAATGACAGTCAGCTAAGTCTCCCTAGATTTTGTCTGGCTTCTGGGGACAGATCTAATGATTTTATAGGGACAAGGAGTCAGAATACAGCTTTGAGAGCTGGGGCACGGGTGGGGCTGGGGCACAGGTGGATTTGGGGGCGGGGCCTTCCTGCCCACCCAGGTCTTGTCTTGGGACCACCAGGCTAAAGAAGACCCTCCCTGCCACAGCTCTCTTGCCTGGATTGTCGTCACCAGCTGAACATGCCTCACGTAGGCATATAGATACAAGACGCCCAGTCACACTTGAATTTCAGATAACACTAAGTTCCCCAGGTCCCAAATACTACGTGGGGGCTCAGAGAAGCACTGACTGTTTATCTAAATGCACATTTTAGCTGGGCACCCTGTGGTTATGGGCAACCGTATTTATTGGTGACCATGATTGTCATTTAGCGTTTTCGCCGTGAGCCCGCGTGGATTCAGCCCGTCTCTGACCTGCTCACCCTGTATCCCTGGTGCCCAGGGAAGGGTCGGCCCATGGCCGGTGCCCTCTGGGTGAACAGACGGGAGAGTGAATTCAGGACCCGAGGGAGGGACCAACATGGACGGGTGCTACAGGGGGCAGCTTTGCCTCTTCCCAGCAGAGTTCTCCACCACTGGGGACGTGACTGGGGAATGCTGCCTCTGGAAGATTCTAAGGCTCAAAAAGTGAAACCCCAAGTGTGGCGCTTTGGCAAGCCGACCTTGAAGGGGCCACCTGGGGACCAAGGTCACTTGGACACGCCCCCCTCAGGCTCCCTTCCTTCCCAGGACAGAAGGGGGAAGCGGGCTTTCTCTGAATTATTGCCCTTATCTCCTTAAAGATGCTTCCCCCAGTGGGAGGTGATTGTCATGAACCCCCTCCCAGGCACCCATCCGTCAGAGAGTGACAGAAAAGGAGACTAACAGGGACGTGGCCTCCTGCCCTCTGCAGCCTCTGGTGAAGTCCAGAGTCCAGGGCCTCTTCTGAGGACTGCTGCCCGTGAGACTTCGGTGGGCAACGTCACAGTCTTCATTGGCCACCATTTCTTCCCCCATGTGCCCCAGGTCCCCATTCCTTTCTGAAGCCGAGGGAGCTGTCCAACTTCAACTCCTGGCCTTTCCTTGAGTCTCATGTTTTGTGCCGCTCCCGTGCACAGGGGCAGGCGATACCCTGAGCTCCCTTTCTCCTGTCCATCTGCCTGTGGTCAGTGTGTTTCCTAGACTTGGATGTGGAACCTGCAGAGGGGAAAAGGAAGAGCCTCAGTCGGGCGCCGTAGCGTACGCCTGTAATCCCAGCGGCTCGGGAGGCTGAGGCAGGAGGATCGTGAGCTCAAAACCAGCCTCAGCCATGGCGAGGCGCTAAGCAACTCAGGGAGACCCTGTCTCTAAACAAAATACAAAATAGGGCTGGGGATGTGGCTCAGTGGCCAAGTGCCCTGAGTTCAGTCCCCAGTACCCTCCCCCTCCTGGATAAAAGGAAGGGCCTCTTTGTCTGTACAGGGGCACCAGCCACCCTGGGCATTTCTGGCTCAGACTGGTTCTTCCTCATGTGGGGATGTCCCTGGTGGCCTCCTAGCGGAGTGTGATCCCACGTTTTCTTGGGGCTGTCTGGACCTGGGCTGGGCTTCGCCCCACGGAGGCCCAGCCTGGAGGAGGCTGTCTTCGGATGCAGGTTGGGATGGGGGAGCGCCCTGGCCCCGGAGGCTGAGGGGCCTCTAGGCACTGACATTCCATCTGAGCCTCCACCCGAGGTCAGGGGGTGGCCACTGGAGCGAAGCCAGGCGTGTCCCTAGCCCTGTGGTGTCCCACCCTGTCCCCCCCCACCGTGTCTGCTCTGGGTGTGGTCCTGGGGA